GAGACTGCATTTGAAGCTGTACCCTTCCATGTCTGGACACCAGTGTGGGTCCTGGAGCAGCTCACGGAGCTGTGCAGGCTCGCCTCAGCACCAGGAGTGTCCAGGACTGTTGCGTGCATGGCAGCAGCACACTAGTGCCTCAAAGCATGTGGTGCTCCCAGGGAGCCTTAACACTGCCCTCCCTAAAGCCTGCTCCTCAGGGAAGGCTGAAAGGGTGCTCTTGTACTGGATTATGTGATGTACATGCCAAAGAAACAAGTTATGCTATAACCTTAGCACAAGTCCTGGAACATACAGGAGTACGCTGTTCATACTGCTTTGACTAGCAAGTTGCTATTTAAAGTTCAGGGCAAAGCTTTAAACCCTGAAAAGGTTTTGATGTAATTGCTGGGGACTGGGGAGGGACAGTGATGAATGTCACAGACAGGATTTTAGAAAAAAGGAGTGAAAGGATTACACATGAAACTTCAGTTTCCTAATCAATACCCACTGGAGCTTCTGGGTAAGCACTATCCCATATTTCCTGAGAGAGGTTAAATGCAAGCTGATCACCCCAGCTCTTCAATTTACTACATCTATCAGGGTTAACAGTGACCTGGGTATGAGATCAGTCACTTTAGTTCCTATGGAAAATTCTCCTGTTCTCCATTAATAAAATAATTAAATTCCCTCCAGTGCAAAGTATTTATTGGTTAATTCTTCATGGGAGTCGCTTGTCTTGACTTTGTTCAATGTTTTGTAAAATTCAAGATTAGGCTCATTATATTGAAAGCAGGATTCAAATACATTTCAAATCTCACAATGGCATCCTCTCCTGCTACAAAAGTTCATACTGGTCTGAATACGGGAAGACAAAATTAGTCCTTTTTAAGAAGAAATCATCAAAGATCAGTGACCATCAAAGAGCTTTACTTGAGGGAAAAAAGAAAGAGGCCAAATTTCAAGATAGCATAGACAGTCAGTGAGACTGGAGTGCTTGAAGCTGGTGGAATTTTTTTAAGTCATTCACAAATACTATATCTACCCTTGACAGGTCATTTCATTCTATTTAGCACTTTTTATTCTCTGTGGTTTATAAGCTCTTAAGCAAATGTAAGAGGGAGGAAAAGCTAACGTGTCAGATAATACACTATATCAGGCTGACAACCTAACTGAATTTCCCCTGTGGTGCTAGCAAAACGCTGTTCCAAAAAGTAATAATGCATACAGAGAAAGAAAAAAAAAAAAAAAAAAAAAAAAAAGATTAAAAAAAATGGAAAAAGTGGAAAAAAAAAGGATCATAGAGATCATGCTGTCACATTTAATTTCAGAGAACAAAACCTGAAGCTGATTTCTCTTTAGATCAGTTGTATACCAGTTGGAACATGGGTGCCTAGCACTGCGACAGAGTAATATGATCTGAGCTTTAAATAGCTGCCAAATAACCATGTGGTGGCTGGCAGCATTAAACGTGTTGCAATGAGAATGATCTGTTTCAAAGTAAAGCCACATAACAGAGGATAAGTCAATCTGATGTGGTATAGAAAAGGAGGGGGAAACGTTTTCCATTATCTTTCTGGGTTTCTTTCTGGCTTAAATATGTTTCCGTCGTAAAGATGCATTAATTCATGGTCTTAACCTGTTTAAAACCTGAGTCATGTGCAGGTCATTTCAGAGAACACCTCCTTGGGCACCCGGGCACAAGAGGAGGCGGGGGGAGGGTGCGGGATGCCGAACGTGAGTCCCACCTCTGAGACCATCCATCCCCTTGCTGTAACCCAGTTCAGAGTGGTGGCCTCCCCGGGTGAAAGGCACTTTACAGGAGGCTCCCCCCCAGTTTGTACCAAAGGCATCCTTGGCAGTTTTTAGGAGCAGGTGAGGAACGGATCTAACATGGGGTGACTTCTGCTCCAGGCCTTCCCCTTATCCTCACAGCAAAATGGGGAGCCTTGCAGCACTTTGTGAGGCCCCTCTGGGCTCCCTGGGATGTAGGGAAAAATCAGGTGCAGTGTTTGGAGATGTCTAATACAGCCCTCTTCCTTCGTACTTTCATGTCAAATGGCTCTCCTTGTCCCTATTGTCAACATGTCTGCTGGGTAGATGAGACACATTGTGGACTGGAAAGACAGACCAGTGTAAACTGGTAACATGAGGAAGAGACATGAAGGGAAAAGTGGTACTGTAAATACTTGTGATTCTTCACCCCTTCTGTCACTTTTGATTATAGACAGCTAGCTTCTGTTTTCAATTTCAGTGTCTCCACCAACTTCAGCAGCATCGATCCAGACTTACTCTCAGTTAGCACAGCAGAATTTCATGCGAACATACTTTATCTAGTCCTCACTGCCTGGAAATCGCGTTGCCAAAAGGACAGGTAGGAACAGGAGAGCCAGAGGAAAAACCAGCTGCTGCATCAGAAGGTAAATAGTTCATTTAAGAGGTTCAGTGTGGCTTCTTAAAAGGTAGTAAGCACAACATACTTTGCAGCCAGTTAGGATTTTGCAAGAATGGAGACAGCAATACAGACACCACTTACTGTTGTCCTACTAGCACACTATAGAGTACAGTTGCAGCAGCTAGGCACGGTGCAGAGAAATAAAGCAGGCTTTATTTTGCATTTCCTCAAAGGAGAACATTGCTTTACCCCACTCGTGTAAATGTCAATAAACAGCCACATATTTCATGAAGGTCAGCCCCAGTGAAACCTCCAGCAGCCGCCCCAATGAGTAACAAGGATAAAGCAGGGGCAAATCCCTTCCCGACTGTTTTTGTCCGCAGCTGTCTTTGCCGCGTTGTGTCAGCACATCCCCCAGGAACCCACAACAGCTGCCCAGCGGGCTGGCAGAGGGCATCTCAGAGGGGCGCTCACCCTCCTTTCTTCCCCTCTTTTCTCACCTCCATCCCCTTGTTTTCCCACTGCCTCCTTTGTGGGCAGTCATGGTCCTTGCCATGTTTGCACTGGACAAGCGGATGATTATCAGATTGAAAGGAATCAGAAAATGCTTCTTACCTACCTGTTCCTTTTCCCATTACTTTTCCAAATATGGTACTTAAAAAAAAAAAATATCTCTTTTTTTCCAACATGACCACAGGCTATTAACCAGCCAGGCACTTAAAAACCAAACCAAACCAAACCTATAGATTGGTGAGGAACACAGTTCTTTGACCAATTTCACAGAATATTTTGATTACAGTATTTAATCCCCTTTACAATCTTCTACTCGGCTCTAATCATGAAAATCCCTGCATCGCTGCCAAGGATTTTCTAGACAAAAGCACATCTGGAAGCATGCCACAGAGCGAGTCTCCTTAGCTGGCCTGTCTTCTCCAAGTTCTTACAAATCTGTTCCCCTGCACATAGTTCTTTCATGAAAACAGAAGAACAAGAGTTAGACTGTGCTTTTAGGTATTACCCATACAGAGGCGCCTCCCCACCACCGTCAACACCATTCCCTGGTCTGCAGCAGCGACTTAGTACACATCAGGTGCTTACCTACATACGTGTTTTGGAGGGAGCAAGCAACCTGTCCCCACAGTTTCAGAAGGAACCTGGCTCTCAGGTTAGGAGAAGGTGGTATCCAATTCAAGCAAATTGATAGAGCTACATGCTATTGCCTAAAGTGTGAGTTTGAGTGAGGAATTTATGAGTACTCACGCAATTTCTACTGATGCCAAAAAGGCTTCCTGAAGTTTCTAAGGAAGCCCTCAGAAACACTTTGGATCTTCACCGGCCATTACGTCTACAGTCTGACCCAAAGGGTTGCCTCCAAGAGAGGCTGCCTCGCACACAAGAGTGTAACTAATTTAGCTGCATAATGGAGAGACATCTGAAGATGCACATGGGCTGAATTAAGGGCTCCACAGGAGCCTTTGGCTCATTCCTTGCAGAGTTTATTAGTTGCTGCTGCACACATGGTTAGGTTTGCTGGAAGAAGTCCAGCTCTGAGGCACCTCTCAATTCCTCCAGCTTCTAAAATTTGCAGAAAAAGTGGCTCAAGCATATTGCCCCCTCTAAGCTCTTGGGGAGAGGGATTCTCCCCTGCAGAGAAGCAGACAGGGTTTGGGGGGGTACCTAGGCAAATAACTCTTGATTATTGAATTTACCTCCATAATTACCAGTAAGTATCCTAGACTGTAAAGGGGACAAATACCACCAGATTGTATTATTTGAGAAACAGTATGTGATTGTGTAATTAAGGGCAGGAATATAATACCACATGTACAAGGGGCAGGGTTAATTTCAGCATTTCCTGACTAACCAAGGGCATTATGGTGTAACCCTAATGTTCTCCGGATGGCTATCATTTATATGGAGTTCATATATATATATGCTTATGAATATTCGATTGAAATTCACCCATGATACTCCCCGACACAGTAATTAAAAACACCATGTTAGCTGCCTAGAAAAATATTTTTATGATTTGGTAATTATTCCAAACCTCATAGTGCCAGCACCCCTACCCCCCACCCTTGTCGTCTTCCTGTTTTATAATGTATAAAGCTAACCTTGATGATGGAAAAATAAATAAGTAGCAGGCAAGGCTGGAAAGCTTCCAATCACAAGAGCTCCCGAAATGGAAGCAACATCCAATCTGGCCCACCACATCTTCTAGGTGGGCACTCCTTTCCTGCCTTTTAGTGATGCCTTCAGTATTCATGACAGCTGTGGAATTAAGCATTATGAACAAGAAGAAACCAACACGCAGTCTTTACTTTTCCCCATCAGTCCCAAACTATTCTGCACTGGGTTACAAAGTGAAAACCAACACACTCTCAGATGGATTTAATTTCAGTGTGGGCACGATGCTAGACAAAGTTTCCCCATTGTTAAAACTCCACCTCATCTTCTCCATACCATGCATACAGTCCCATCCTCACCCCACCCTCCAAACATATGGGCACATGCACACACACACACAGAGAACCAGCCATGCCTACAATACGGACCCAAATCCATCTCCCCTGCTGTCTTATCTAGGCTCATTGCTTTCCCTGGGATGACTAGTAGGCAAGTTGGATTTGGTCTACAGTGCAGATTTTTAATATTGGGGAAAATTAAGTCTACATAAAACATACATTTTCATGTCCTAGATACTGTCTCCATAGTAAACCTTTTTTAATAAAAAAAGTCATTTTACACAATCAGGAAAATGTTTGTTGGAGCAGCCAATTATTCCATTCAAAAATAAAAGGGTTAAAACTTGATTAAAATATTAATGCTATCATTCAAAGTACAATTTCAGCATAACTTCAGCTACTGATTTAACTACGGTATTTTGGCTTACAGAATCGTGCAACAGACATGTATTTCAGAACACAGAATATGCAGCTTTCAAATGCATACAGAAAAGAGAAACGTGTAACGGAGGCAGTTAAGCTTTTACGTATACGGACTAGCACCAGGTCGCTGTTCACAGCAATTTGCTCTCTCGTCCTCTTCCCGTGGATGCTGCATGAACAACTGCACTCTATTTTTATAAAGTGCAGACATGTTTGCTTGTATTAAACCTAAGGCAAGTAGTGGAAGACAGGAGAGGAGGTAGATTGAATTACTGTGTTTGAATGTTTGTTTTCTCCTTTACCTTATACCAATCTCCACAAGCAGAAACACAAAGTAAATGTTAAAAGACAAATGTATAAAATGTTGATTTGGCCCACTTCATTTTGGGCTTTTGGTTGCAGAAAATTTTTGCCTTCCTCTGTTTGCAAAACTGCAAAAATGCTGCTAATGGTACAATATGGAGAACCACATGTGTACCTTCTAAAGAATTAAAAACGAATACTTGGGACATAAGGTGGTTTCTTCATGTATAGAGTTTTGTGTCCTTTACCCTTAAACAAGTAACAGAAGAACTTCCAGAAATCTGTCTGCACACTTAGGATTGCCATGATGGTAATAATGTATAAAACTGTGTTCCAGTTTACAACTGTCATGAAGTTTCACTAGGATTCCTGCATTCCCTTCAGCAGCGTACAACTAGTCTGAGTGTAAATAAATGGCACGCCCTACCAACAAGAAGAGTATTCCTGCTAATAAAGCAAAAAATACTCCTACAGGAGCCAACATAAAAGACCAGCCATAACGTACATAAACAGAAAAGTCTGTGCAATCCATTTTTTTCATGTTTGTGTAGTTTTCCAGATCAGCCATCGCCTGGACCCAGATGACATACATCACGACTACCAGCGAAAACAAGACACCTGGAAAAGAAACACCAGGTTTTAACAACAGAGTGTGAGACAAGTGCTGAGTGCATTTTCTGTAATACCTACAAACCCATCAATGCTTGAAGCCCTGGCTGCAATGCACAGTCAACCACCACTGGATAAATTTTGCCTTTGGCTTCCTCTAACAAGCACTATCTCCATCTCGCTCCCGATTTGCACTGAAAGGCACGCTCCCATGACAAAAGATGTACCTGGTTTTCGTAGGCAGACTGAAACACAGGTGTGTTTAGGGACAAAATTCAGGCAGATATTTAATGTTTTTAATTCAGAAGCCAAAGAGGGAGGAGGGGGAGCGAAAAGAGGGGGGACAGGACAGAACTACCTGGGAAAAAATATCTACTTTTGCTTCCCAAGTTCTGACATTGTTTCTATCACAGCCTTTTGGATGAGATATGAAAAGGGGAAAGGGGTGGGAAATCTTTCTAGCATCTTCACCTCTCTACATTTGCTTCTTTTTTCTTATGAAGAGGGCTTTGTTTGGAACATACTACATTCAGAGTATTCTACTCAAGTATTTTGCAGACAAATTCAGATGCATTTAATTCAAAATCCTCCACATTAGAAAAGAAGCTCCTGGTATAGGAACAAAACCCAACAATAATTAAATAATTGCTATGAAGCAGGCTATTAGTATTAACCTCAGATTGGATACAACAGTTTCCTGGAACTAATTCTACACATCATTCACAGCCTCTTCCCAGCCACCCCACTGAAAGGCCTTTGGATTGTTTACACATCATAGTAATAGGAGCACATGTCCTTACAAACTTTGTTAATCTCTTTCTTACTATACACCAGGAGATATAAGAAGAAAGTGCCTTCCAAAGTATCAGTTGCATTCCTAGTATTTCATTTCACTTTAGAGGAATGTGGACACTTGAGAAATGCAAGCCTGTAGCACAGATGCTCCAGCAGAAGATTTGCTGGAAGACTGAGGGCACAAGTCTGAATTTTTTGCATGCTCCAGCCTATGCCCACTTGCTCCCTGAGCTCCAGCTGTCATAGCACCGTTACAGCCACAGGACTGTCTATCCCAACGGTGGAATATTTGAGGGGACACCAGCCCATCATATTTTTATCCCAGGATGTTTAGATGCCTCACTAAAACCACAAGCCAGCGCGTATTCCTGGGAACACTCATTGCCGAACTTGCGTCTATGGGCTGTAGAGCCACAGAGAGTAAGTCAAAAGTATTTGTGGTCTCTTCCCCATCCTCCTACATACTTGCAGTGCAACCTTGAACAAATGTGACACTTGTGGCAAAACCCACAAATGCACTTTGTAAGCACCCATGGACAGGCATTTGCTTCCAGACCCACCCGTCCCGGTAACCTTTCATGGTTACCTTTCCCCATCCCCACCCTGAGATGCTGCCTCACAACCTCCTTTCCCTGCTCTTCTTACCCACCTACCAGGGAGCAACTCTTGTCATCACTCTCTCATTTGCTTCAAGTAAAATCAGACAGGTTAGCTGCAGCAGTTTAAATTGGTGATCTGGAGACATTCTTGTTGGTGCCTTATGGTCAAAATGCAACAGCTTTACATTCCGGACATCCCAAGCATCTGACATTCACAACTCAACGCCTGGGAACACTACTACCTTTTGGAGACCACCAAAAATTGAGCTGAAATAGTTAACCTGAGGCATAATCAAAATGTGACTGAAAATTCCAAAGGCTCTGCATTTTTTATGAGGCTGAAAGAAAATAGAAAAGCTAAATAAAGGAGGAGGCAGACACATTTCCCGTCTATGAAATATACTTCCAGGTTTACATTTTTTGCTAGGGCTCAAATTCCTAACAAAGTTTGGGAAAAAAAAAAAAAAAACAACACTCAATTCTAAAAGGCATAAATTCAATTTTGAAAGTATTTTACCTAAGTATAACTCAATTTTGATGGGATTTAGTACTGGGGTTGTATTAAACAGAAAACTGGTGAAACACTCTGAGAGAAGGATCACCTTAGGGCCAGATATAAAGAATGAGAAATTAAATTGTAGACTCTCCAAATATAAGTCAAATTGAGCAGAAGATTCCTATAACAGAATATGTAATGTTAACAGATAATGTAGGCAACATATGAAAATTAGAACCAGAGCTAGTAATTTTTGATGTAAAAAGATTCAGGGCAAAATTCATAGAGTCATGGAGTTTCACCAAGGTTTCAAAATTTCAACCAAAAAAAAAAAAATTATAGCCCAAAGATTTGGAAAGATACATTAATAATAAGGCAAAATCCATATGAACATTGAAATTTACCTCTTCAGATGACTGTGGCTGTGCATTATCAAATGTCTGTAGTCTTCTGTTTATTTTCTACATCAGGGCAAACTTAGTTCAAAACAAAAATGATTACAAAAAGTGGTGATACATATTCCCTTACTGTAGCAGCAGGTAAGTATAACCAGGCCTTGCACACCTGCAGTGACCTCTGGCACCCTGGGCAGATACACAGCTAAGTAGCCCAGTCAGTCAGAAGCATTTCCCATTAAAACAAGACGCATTTCATATTGAAATGGGCACCCCTTGCTCTTTGGGCAGTCGGAAGCAACACCTTCTAGGTGGTTAAACTAGAGCCAAGACCATGTAGGTGCAAAATAGCAAGCCACTGCTGCCAGTGGTAAAGCAACTTCAGGGAAGCTAAAATCCATCGGGTGATTTCACAGCAAGCTGTTAATACCTGTGTGTGGCAAATTCTTGGGTATGGAAATTTGCTGAGGAAATGTATGTCAAGCAGAGATAAATGTCCTTCTTTCAACGAGAAGAAAAAGAAAGGGAGAATATGTAAACCCTCTTAGTTAATTAAGGCACTAAAGGAGTATTTAAGGGTTCTCACTATCTGCTAATGGAGGCTAATTAGTAGATATATTGCTTAGTGCCTTCAAGAAATATAATCTTGAACAATAGAATCAGGCTAAGTAAAAACTGACCATGTCCTGTTGCCTCCAAAACCATTTCATTCATTAGGGCTCCTTTTGTCTAATTTGCACAGAAGTGTGATTTCATGGGAGTTAAGGACTTAGACAGGAGTTTACTGAATATGTATTTATTCTGGGAAATCTTTTCCTGCAGTCTTGCACTTTCTATCATGAATGTCATGATCTCTCATAGCCACGCTCCAAGGCAAAATTACTGAGATTGAAAAAAAAATTCACAATTTCATGAAGCAAATATTTTTAGGAATAATGCGTGCTATGATGTATTTCTACATTTTCAGCATTTAGACCTTTTTCATAGTGTGCAGATGTCCATTTGCCCCTGCCTTTTAGTGAATATAAAATAAAACAGCTGTTGCATGAATCAGGAATGATGGGGGAAATTATTCCTAGAACATGAAATATGTCTGAGAGAGATTAAGACAAATAAATACTGTCCTTCTCCTCCTTTTTCCTTCTTTTTTTCCATTTTGCATTTTTTTTTAAGAACACACATGTTTGATACACAGCTCTGTGCAGTGTGATAAGACAGGGACTTCTCTGAGGTCACTCTTTCCTGTCTTTTGCATTTATTCTTTTGAATTTCTTTCAAACAAATACTTGTGCATATTGCAGAGGAGAAAGAATACAGAACCTTTAGAAATGTCTATGAATTCAAGAAGCAGTTTGCTGGCCTTTAGTACTTATTCTTCCCACATAGGAATGCCTTTCACTTGTCAATGGTGAATGGCTGTTTATGGCATGAATCTTTTACTATGCAGACATGAAGACAACAGGTGCTGGAAAGAATGATGTGAGCTTTTTACTTGTGCCTAGAAGTTTAGAACTCTTTATCTCACTTGAGGAAAACTTGCATGCATGTGTAGGTATTTTTTTTTTTCCAATTGCATTTTTCTGTCCTTGTCCTTGTTACAGATTCTACCACCAACCTTGGCCTCTTGTGACCTTTATTTTAAAAGTATGGTTGACATTCCACTCTGAAGTACGTGCAGAGGATCCCACTTAAGAGTTATGGGAGTTGGCACATATCTCTGAAGACAGATTTTTGTCCTCATCTAGGAGCTAGAATTATAATATCAGCTTTTTCCACTCTTTTGGCAGGAAGCAGAAGTCATACTTGTACTTCTAATCTTACTTCTTCACAAGGGTGTGATTCTGTAATGCTCTGTGAACGTCCTGGGGGCTTGCTTGTTTTCACCACCACCCAGGCAGGAACTGGCCAAGGTAATTATGGACTTAAGGCAATTATGGACTTCACTTAAGGCTGCTCTAAGTGATTATTTTACGGCAGCTTTCCCCTTCTTTTCCTATGACCTTTGAAGGAACTATAAGGCTTCTTACAGTTTGCACTACTGCACTGCTGTTCTTGGTCCACCCTCTGATATTGTAGACATGGAGGAGAGGCTGCAAAGACAGCACTCACGTCACTGACTGTGTTACTGTTGAACTGAAACACTCTTTTTCCCCACAGGTGTAGCATCTGTAGCCTCGGGTAGTTCGTGTGGTTACAAATCTTAATACAGAAAGCTTCTAGCCAATAAGCTGCCACCAATATTAATAATTGTGTGTGCCTCTTCATTTGTGGTGGTTCATCTGAATAAGAGAAGTGGGCAGCCTTTCTTAAAGATCGGGATGAAGAAAGGGCAGCTGTGTGACTCTGCCACAGGTCAGACATCAGAATTGCTCTGTGGGTAGCAGCACAACTGAAATCCCATCTGAAATGCACGTACATAAATGAACCCAGTGTTGGAATAACACAGAAGGAATTCAAGTTCATGCAGTCACTGGATGATGGATGATGCCACTGCAGCTGCAGACACGGTGAGACAGTTGCTTGATTGGAATGCTTTGCTGGATGGATACAGATTCTTTAAGAACAGGCAGTTAAGATGGGGTGGGATGGATGCAGTCTGGACAAAGAAATACCTTGAGTGGGCAGAAATCTTCTAAGTAACAAGAGCTTATGGGTTAAGGTCAACAAGGTGGACAAAAATGGCGTGGTCATGATGGGCATGTGCTACAGGCCACCTAGTCACAAAGAGGAAGTGGACTGGAAAAATAGTTATGACTTCTGGTTCTCATGAGGGACTCAGACACCCCAGCATCTTCTAGGAGACCAACACTGCAGAGAACAAGCAGTCCAGGAGGTAGGTAGCTAGGCTGCATCAAGGATAACTTCTTGAAACAGGGGTGGAACAGACCAACTAATGGAAGTGCTTTGCTGGACCTGCTACTCACAAATAAGGGAAAACTAGTCGGGAATATGATAGAAGGTGTTAGCTGTGGTTATAATGGCCATGAAATGGTAAAGTTTAGTAGCCTAGGAGGAATATGGAAGGTGAGTAGGAGATTAAAGACCCAGAACTTCAGAACAGACTTCAGCCTGTTCAGGGAACTGGTAGGCAGGATCCCAAGGGAGACTGCCCTGAAAGACAAAGGATGCCTTGAAGGGTAAAGGAGCCCAGAAGAATTTGTTCCTCACAGGCAACTTCGTTAAAGCACAAGAATGGTCCCTCTCTGCATGCAAAAATTCAAGCAGGTCTGACAGAATTGAAAGTTAACCTCATACAGAGCTGCATTAGCAAGAACACAATCATCAGGTTTGAAAATAGTATTATTCCCCTTTACTCAGCAGTTGTGACATCATAGCTGGAAAACTGTGCCCAGTTTAAGGCCCCCTGGTGAAAGAGAGATATTGATAAACTGAGGTGATGACCATCAAGATGGTTAGGGGGATGGAAGACAAGGAGAGACTGAATGAGCTTGGGAGTTTTAGTCTGGAGAAGAAAGCAGTCTTCATCTTTCTAAACGGAGTTGCAGAGAATATGGGGGTAGATTCTTCAGACCTGCACTCTGAAAGGATGAGACACAACAGTCACAAGCTGAAGCAAGGACAATTTCAGGTGGATACAAGGAAAAAAATGCAATATTTCTCACCATTAAATTTGGGACAAATGCCAAAAGATGCTGGGGAACATCAATTACTGGAGATTTTAAAAACTTGTCTGGGTGAGGCTCTGAGCTGCCTGATCAAACTTTGATGCTAGCCCTGCTTTGAATGGGATGTCAGACTCGATTGCCACAAGAGGCCATTTCCAACCTAAATTTATTCTGTGTTACTCAGGATCTCTGTTTAGGCTCCTTCCATAGGTCCCTCTAAAAGGCAAGTCTATCTGCCTTAGCACAGATAAGGTGAAGCATCCTTCTGAGAGTGTGTTTCTTACTACTGACAATAGAAGTTTAAGAAGTTGGTTCATACAAAACACTCAGCTTTCAGATGGCTGAACAGCTGGCATGAATCCCATTCTCAATAATATCTTCAGCTGCTTTCTGAGCCCTAAGATGGCACAGCAGACCATGCTACAAGCTGTTCTTTTCATTCGAGGCAGAGATTTATCTGCTACCTAATTTGTCAGTTAAGGTTGCAAAAGGATACAGATACTTCAGTCCAATAACAGGTATTAAAATTGCTTCATCTAACATTTTTCTTTAAAGATATGTAAGTAGGAAAATGACTGATCTTCCAAACTTCCACAGAACAATCACCTTGTCTAACTTATTTCTCGGAAGCCTACTATTCTCACTAGCATAACAACAATTTGAACTTTGTGATAAGACAGCATCCAGGCCCTTTCAAACAATGTGTATAATTCTTTTTTTTCTTCAAATCAATACGCTGGTTTCTGCCTTACAAGAACTCTAACTTCACCTATGACCTAAGTCACATTACATCTCTTCATTTTCCCATTAGGCATGTGTTTAAATAGATGCACACCTTGGCTGCGTCCTGATCACATCTTGCTGTGAGTGGTAAATACACACCACTTCTCATCACTCTCCCCTTCCATGCCCTGTTTTCCTTTGGGAGGCAGTAAATGAACAGACTCACTAGTCCTGAAGAAGATGGATCGAGGAAGGTGTCAGGGCAGCAGGGAACACAGTAGAGCACAACACCCTGCCTTCTAGAGGCAGGCTATAACACTCCTCTTCTGCATCAGGTTCTACCTTCCCTTGCTCTGCCCCCAAATTATCCCAGATTTAAGATATTAACTATTATGAGGAATTCCTATTGGGAGAAAATAAGAGATAGCAAGTCATACCCCTGGGTCTGAGAAGCCCTCTTACTCTCCATTTAACACAATGGGCCATTGATCAGTAACACCACAGGGAACCAAGCTGTTGCCCAGGACATCCCACAGGACATACCCCTAACTACTGTCAATGCAAAGTATTTATAAGCTCTCCTTATGTCAGCATGGTCACTCCGACCAGCATGATTTTAATCCATGATATAATTAAACCTTCACCTTGGTTACAGGAGTACTTGTAAGAAGAGCTGAGAGCAACAAACTTTTTTTAAAATGTTTTTGAGGGCGATCAGAAGTGTTGGATGGGATAATGATATTTACAGAAAGCACCTTCCCCCAGCAGCCCTGCCCTCTTGGTGGGACTGGGAGTAGATGCATAAGAGCTTGGTGAGGAACTGTCCCCTGACCCAAGACAAAATGTCTTGTGCAAGCTGAATGGCTCCAGGCTCCTATATTCTGCTGCCGCCACTACCTTTTGGCAAATCATAGCAGGATTTTGCTAAGTATCTCAGCTTTTCAACAAGAACAATGGCAACAGTAAAAATAACACAGCTCTCCTCTGAAGCCCTGAATGAGAACAGTCCTGAAGTTGAAAAATACTACATACAGAGAGAGTTCAGGATTTCCCTTGAAGAACATCTGCTCTATAGGGACAAAGGGTGAGAGGGGCAAAGAGACAGGCCCAAGGTCACACTCTGGGATAATAAAGCTCACTTAACTTCACACACCTAAAAAAAATAGTCTCTCTGGATTCCCCCAGTAAAGGAAAGAGAGGTGTAGGGTTCCTCCATAGCACATACATCTGATCCAATTAGGCCCCTCTTTCAGGATGAAATGAATCCCCAGCTGGGGGAACTTCTTACATGCTTACTGTTTTTACTGGCAGTGAATGTTAATGCTTCTTGCAGACCTCCTAGCAAAGCCAAGGGAGACTAGTGCAGACTTGGGGATCTAACTTTCCCTTGCCGAAATGCGGGCAGATGAACTGACCCAGGGTGGAGAACACACACATTGCTTCACACCTCTGCCTGTTGGTTCCTGGTGTCTCTCAAGCGCCCTTTTCCTCTCTAACACCCTCTGCTATTTTCCAGTCACCACTGAGGTTTTTTACAGATTACAAATGCAGAAAAAGTGCAGGAGTCACATGGGATCTTAGCCTGCAAATTAGTGACAAAAGTCACTGAAATATCTTAGGATTTCTCTCAGACTATGAATATTTTTTGTATGTCTCTTAAAAGTGTGGAGGAGTAATTCTCAAGGGATCAAACGCAAGTATGCAGGAGTTTTTTCAGCAAAAATATAAAATACTTCCCACACTTCACTGAGGGTCCTTTAAAGGGGAATAATGATCACTAGCTGCTATGAAGAGCTGCGAGGTGAAGTGGGTAAGCAAGGTCAGCGGGTCAGTAAGAGAAGCAAAGTGCCCAGGCCTCTCGGTCCTGACATGAGTGGCTCTACCCTGTCACATAAAACTGCTCTCACAGGGCTGCCTCTCACCAGGCTTTGTATAAAGGAGAACAGTGATTGAGTAAATACTGTCATTTACATCCTACACAACTGTGTCTTACACACCAGTGTGACGTTTTCCCAGACTTTTCAAGGTTAACCAAACAGCATCCCAGAAAGCTGTCCGTATCAGCAGAATACTGGTAGGGTGCATCCTCCACAGCACGTGTGGGTTATGCGGAACGATGGAATGCAGTTTTTGCTATCTTTCATTCACAGAGGTTTAGAGCTCCCACTTACTCATATGTGACAACTATTTTGTGTATTCCAATCACATCCAAAATATTTCTCCCGTATTGGTCATGTGAATGTGGTCTGTCTTCCAACTTCTTTAGAACCCACTGTAATCCCCTTTTGTGTCACTGATAAAAAACCCCCTCTCCTTAGCTAAAGCCATTGAGAATTGTATAAAGCAGTATCCCTAAATATGCATTCTTTTTCCTGCTAAAAATGTAGACTGAAATTACAGTGTAATTCCATTATTTGTCCTGTATTTTTTAAATCTTAATCCAAAAGTAGCTTTTAGAATAGCTTCATGACTAGATAACTGTGAAAAGAATTGTCTTCAAGGCAGGCACTCCACGAGACAAAGGATAGAAGCATATGCTTTTTCTTTCTTCTAACCATGATTAATATAATTTTTGGTCAAGGAAAATGGAAGAAATACCTCATCCCTTCCATTCTTTAATTGACTAAGCAAACAGCATACCCACCAGCAATGATGAAAAAGCCTCCTCCTGCTTTGTACAGAACGTGGCTGGCAAACGGAGCTGCACAGATGATGAAGAAACTAGCCATCACAATAGTGACCACTCCCAGGAGCATAAAAACTGTCCAGAAACCTCGATAAACTGGAGAAAGGGAAGAAGGAAAAAAATAATGCAACACTTTTTAGAATTTAAAGAAGTGACATACTTGGCTAACAAAGATCTTTCTTTTCCTCTTCACTTGCCGTATTATGAATGCAAATAGAATGAAACATTCATTCTATTGTGCATATACGTTGCGTATCATGTGGACCAAATTAGGTTCGAACTCCAGTCCTTATCTGATGATCATGGAAAATAGGTTGTAAGTTACCACGACTGAAATCCGTCTGCTTAATATTTAGCAGTGACTTGTAAGATAGCAACTTGATCAAATGTATGCTTTTTAGAAAATGGCATGCCAAAGCTGTAGCAATAATTCTTTGGGATAAATGACTGGACTGACAGAATACAGTTGTTTTATGAAAATTGTCTGGGAGAAGCAGAGAGATGCAACATCTTGACATTCTTAGTGCTTTGACCATATCACCAATAGCAATCTGTAAGTTCTCTATAATTTACAACTGAATAATTCTCTTTACACATAGTCATATTCAGTAGATGGAAATGAAAAGCAGGATGGGAGAAAAAACTTAAAAAATATAAACCAGGTTTATGAAGAACAGTTAAGTATTTTAAAACAGCCTATTCCTGCTCTAAATTTCTCTATATTTTATTAAATTTAAAATGTGATGTTTCAGAAGGCCCTGTTAGACAGTGCCAAGCAGTGCTGAATTAATGGATGCAGCTGGTGATAAATGAGCCGAGAGTTTTGTGACATACTCTGGCCAAAAGAGTCTTTCTAACAATTATTTTTTAGCTGGTTAATTGCACATCCATTTAACAAAGTCATCATTTTACAAATGCTACAAGAGTGACATAAATTTCTCCCATGAATTTAAAAATTGGTACATTAACACAACCCATTAGTAAAATTATGAGTTGCAAAGATCTCCATCGTCAGATCTGAAAATCTTGAAGCACTGACAATTCAGTCAGTGAAAAACATTTCCACCCAACTGAGGGAAAGCATATAAGCCAGCTGGCAAGTCAGGAAAAGTGAGTCACAAAAGAAACTGCCACTTATCATTTGACAGCACCTACTTACTGTTATGGCAAAACACAACCAAGCAACTATTACACTGGCTCATATCCTGGAAGTTTCAAATTCATACAGCGTGTTGGAGCCAGCTATTCTGGAATAATTCAGGTTTGCTCTCATGTGAAATCTGAAGGTGCACTAGACATTATCAGCCTGTGCTTCCCACTAATGTGTTCCAAAAATCTATAGTTTTTAACATGATCAGCTTAACTCATGTTAAAATATACACCATCTTGCCTTTATCAGCCTTGTAAATGTATGAGCTAGATCATGTTCACCACATCGCATTAAATAACACTTTTTAAATAACATCCTTTTTAATACAGGCAAACATTCAGAGACATAATTTGCCACCACACTGATCAGCAGATTTGGGCATAGAAAGGATGAATGTATCTGAAAGTAGCTGGCAGAAGGGTTAAAACTGTGGTTTGGTTCATATCCAATACAAGTCTTCTTTCCACATAAACAAAAAAATATGGAAATAGTAGGTAAGAAATAAGGCTGTGGCTCAGCAAAGCAGTTAAGTGTGTGTTCTGCTTTAAGTACCCTACCTCTTATGGGATTTAGGCACCTGTTTAAAGTTAAACACATAGTTAAATGATTCACTTAATGCAAATGGACAGTGAATGGAGACCTAGAAAGGTAAATCTCCCAAGTCATTCAGTCTTGGGTCTCTGAAGCAATTTCATATTATTTTACCCATGGGGCTACTTCGCTAAGCTTCATCGCAGTCCCCAAGTCCATGCGACATTACTTCCTCATTTAAAACCTAATATTGCTAAATCAGTCTATAACCACCCAACTCTTTTACATGGATGGCCCAAGGTACTTCAAAGTCATGCTACATTATAGGACACATCGGCCAAAATGGACCTTGAAAAAGCTTTCTTCGATATCATTATGGTCAGTCACCTAAGTCATACAGCACTGTTTCTATTTTCTGAATGGATGAGGACACAAGATGCCCCAGCATTACAAAATCAGTATCCAACTTCATTATCTGCTCCTCATACAGGAAGCTCTGAAGTCTGCTTTTATTGAAATTTTACCAGAGAAGCTTGATTTGTTCAAATGTTCTTGGAAACGGAACACAAAAGGAGTACAAATATAACTGATGAAAATTTGTTTAAAACTCTCTGTAACTATACAAGAAGAGAAAAGCGGTTTTTCTGCTCCAACAGCACAACTATTTTATGCATTACGTGTGAAACACTGATTTGACCTAGCTATCTCCTGAAAAAATCTTCCATTCCATTTCTATAGAAATAATAATTTACTCTAGAGAATCATGGATAAATTCTGATGATCCTAATACTTGTTTAACCAGCTAACTCTGTCATTAAACATCAATTAGAAAATAGCATATAGTTAGCAGGTAGAAAGTCTGCAATGCTCCCAAATCTGTGACTTTTCAAGCAAAAGATTACCCCCTCTAATTTGCAAGACAGTAAGTCATTTGGATCATTTGTGGCACAGGTCTGAGGAAACATCCTAAGAGCATTTAGACTTTTTCTTCAGTGAGGGAGTTAAAAAGCAACCATTTTTCTGCAAAGAAGGCTTCTCTTATTTCATATTCAGACCATTTTTGCTCAGACCACATTTCCCACCTTCTCTGCCTAGATGGCAAGATCAGTTCCTACAGGGCTAATCATTCAAAATTACAATGCAGCCCTACTGCTATCATTTAGCCTAGCTGGTATCTATAGATGAACACAAAAGAGCTGCTTGAAATTAAACCTTCCTAAGAATGAACTTACTCTTCAAGTCAAAGACTTTGCTGCTCTGAGATTGAGGTGAACCATGACAGATAAAATGCAACAGAAGATGCTGCTTTGAATTATTTTTCTTTATATCCCATGAAAAGGGCTGATGCTATGATCCAAGCAGCCTCTTTCAAGAAATAATGGTTCAGTGCACCTATACAAAGTGTTAACCGAAGTTTGCACTGTTTCAGGTCTCACTGAGGTAGTTCATCTGGTCTGGATGACGAGTACCCTTGTCACTGCAAGGTACTTCACAGATACATTTTAGCTAGTTGCCTCAAATACATGCATTATTCCAAGTATTCCCTACAATAGAAGAAATAAAGTACAAGCACTACTGCAGAGTCTGAGGTAAACCTATCTGCAGTGTTAATCTTAGAAACCATTGCTCTGTGTTGCAAGAGTGCTAAACAGAAGGTTCTGTAACTTGTCTTGGTAAGCTGCCCCTTTGTTGGGTACAACATTTGCCTTGGCAGTGACAGACAGACCTAAAAATAAAATCATGCTTAGAGGAAAACAGGAGTACACACGGTATGCTTGTCTTTGAGCTCTGCACTGTTCAGCCTGTATACTATGAGAACATTATACCTACAGTATATTCCTCCAAAATTGCATGACCTGTAGTTTTCCCTTGCTACTTGCTTTTCTCCCTAAAGATCCTTTTTTGGCGTGTCTCTGGAGACTTCTGCATCATTTGAAAACTAGAAGAAATATCTGGTTTGGACTTACTTAATATTTTGGACTAAATTTGGGATAAATGGCTGAAAATTATTAAAATCGCCATTTTCTGGTAGAGTAGACCCCAGGATTGATTATAAACTGAAGCCATAGATTCATACTTTAAGATGTTACTGGTGCATAATATGAAAGAGAAGCAATAATATATATTACAAAGTCACACAGCTGTGTCACCCACAACACACACTTACGTAGGAGCCATGCACACCTCTGAAGCTCCACAATGGTTTTTCAGGAACAGGTTAGCTAATGACACAATGCAACACCCATCTGCTATCGGAGATGTGAACATCAACTTAATGAAACCATACCACGTCTTTTATTGCCCTTGGCGACTTTGAGTGGTTTAAAAACTCAGCCATCAGCCCATACATTTTCTATGGTCTATCAAAAAAAAAAAACCCAAACCAGCCACTTAATGTTCCATTTAATGTCAATGTGAATTATTAAGCACTGCAAAGCTGAAAAACTTTTTGAAGTATGTGTGAGTACAGTGCTGCATAAACATTACTAAAGATAGCCAAAATTACTTGGAAAAGTTGCCTTGATTTTTAATTTACAAGCTCATATGCTAAAGTGAAACTTCCCTGTGATTTAACTGTGGATTGTATTTTAGAATATGTCTTTTTTACCTCTCTAATTAACAGAAGAGATATCAAAATGCTTTTGACAAGAGTATTGCCTGCCACCAACAATATAAAATACTGTGAAAGGTGAAGTGCCTGAACTGCTCTAAATCAGGAGTATCTTCTCTGCAGATAAACAGCTATAAAGGAGATCACAGATCTCAGCAGCAGCGCAGGAGACACACCTGGTAACACAGTAAACCTTGCAAGACTTTTCTCAGTTTCACTCAGTACACTTTACTATCCCCTAGTAGTAGTAATTTTTTTTTTTTTTAATAATCCTAACAATAAAAAAAATACAATATTCACAGTATGAATACATTGCTTTTGTAAATACTTCTTTCTTTATCACTGCTTGGTGGCTGGGGAGTTCTCCCTTAGTAAATGTACTGTATTACAATCTCTCATGGGCAATTATGTGACTGTATTACATAACAGCATTTTTTTTCCCTAGAAATAAGCTACTGGTAACATTTCACTGTACAATTTTTATTTTCAGGTTTCATTGCTGATGTCTTCTAGATTACTTTAGGTAATTTCAACTCAGTAACAAACCTGCCAATAAATTTGATCACACCATTTTAGATTTAATGGTTGTTCAACTAGAATTTCACTTCAATCCTATAAACATTGTGTATTCTACATTATATCAGGCACTACTTCAAATACTGGCAATGTGCCCAGTACTGGACAAAATAAGATACTAATAGTCAGGAAAAAAAGCATAAGCAGCTACAAATCAGAGTACTAAACTGATGTGTCAGTGCAGCCCCATTAAATGATTTCCAATTTAGCTTCAGAAGGTGCTGGGGAAATTTACAACAGTTAAGGAACTATTGTTTATTTCCAAATAAAGTTGAGGAAAAAACTCTCAAAAATAAAGTTAATAACTTGACTAAGTGCTAGATTTTGCACTTCTTAGGAATAACCTCACTATATCCAACAGGTGTACAAGTAAGGACTTTGTACATTTTTCAAAAACAGGCCTAGTATTGTCCTGTAGTTTTATAAATGTGTGATACTCCTTGAACGTCAGTGTTAAGTAATCTGATGACGAGATACCATGCATTAATCTAGCTAGCAATGAATTATTATTTAAATACTATAGTATTATGTATTCAAAACAGTGTGATAGGATAACCAATCTGATTACGATTGTGCAAATGTATGTTTATTTTAGAATGTAGAGGTCACTACTCGCACTGTATGGGCTAATTTCATTTTTTTTTTTATTTCTAGGTTGTAGCTTGTTGCACATATGTTTGTCAATCATCTTATAAATGAATCTGCTGGCAACACAATGAGGTGCTGTCTAAGTCTACTTAAGAGCTGCACATTATAAAATGGAAAGTCACTATAGTCAGGGTTCCCCTGAGCTCATTTAGATGCCTGTTTCAGGTTAAGATAAACGACATGGCCTACAAATGTCTTTAAGTGCATTAATGATAAATGATGGTTAGCACAGCTGTGTACCACACCTTACAATGTAGGTAAGTGAAGTCCTCCCTGTTCTGCCAAGATATTTAACAAAACCAGTGAATGAACAAAACCACTATAACTGTGATTAAAAGATACAGCAAGCTGCAATTTCAAAGCAGTGCTATCTAACCCTTCAAAGCTGACCATGCATCTGTCAGTAATGATGAAAAGAAATCTGAGACATTAAAACATGCATTCAGATCTCCAATATAAGCATCACTGTAGGCTTTTCTGTCTTTCCATTTCCATCTAAGGCTATAATTCTTGACAGCAGAAGCTATTAGTCTAGGTTTATACAGCAGGACGAACCAAGACTTTGGTCTAAAGCTTTGTAAGGTGTACTATAACACTAAACTTCCAAGGTCCTCAGTGTTTCGAGTCTTTTGGGAACTACCACACAAACATCGTAAAACAAACATACAAAAAGATATAAATAAGCTAAGAGGGGATAGACTGAGCCTCTTTTGAATTCTGGCCCAGAAATGCTCTGAGCCAAATTCCTACCAATACTAAAGCCACAGGAGTTATGTCAACAGAGAACTTGGTCCAGACACTGCACTCAAAGATCATCAGAGATTTTCTGTTCCTCAAGGAATGTATCTTTTCTTGAGCCCTTCTAACTGGATGGTAACATGGCATTCCACCAACAAACCACACTTGCGTTTCCACTAGGAGCTGCAGTTAAATCCAAATTCCTCTGATAAGGTCCCAAAGTCTCTTAAGTCAAACAGTCTGTAAAAGAAGTCATGTGCCTTTGCTTGCTCAGAAACTAACAGTTCTGCTAACAGAAAGTTAGATATTTTTAGAAAAATGTGTTGTAGATACGTGTTTGATTTTTCTAATGAAGTTCAAAGTTTTTTATTCAGCTGTTTATTTTTCTACGAAAGAGCAAACTAAGTATTTTCAGATGACAGAATACTTTTTCTTATCTACTCCTAATTAAAATAGGACGTGAGGGTCTCACTAAAAACACAGTGCTAAACCTGTGTGGGATATTTCTCTTTTTTATTCCCAAAAGTGAGTATGCTGAGAAAGCTTTAAGACATGAAAATGGTAATATTGTATCAAGAAACAGTAGCAGAAGCAAAAAAAAGGACAATAACCTCAGTCTTTTGGTGGTTCCCTTCTGTTCTATGTTTAGCTGATGCAAGATACCAGATGCCGTCAACTGGATATACAAATAGTTGATGAAATCTTGTTCTTCATGAAATCAAATGGAGGGCTTTTGCCACTGGATTTTACAGAGAAGCATTTCCTCCACTGTGAATCAAGAAGAGGATAACCTTCTAGCATTTCTTAATTTAAAAACCTGTTGGCCAAATATCATGGGCAGGGCTGTCAAACTAGACTAAAGGAGAAACCAGTTTTGACCTAACAGAATAAACAATGACATAACCTTCTTCATAAAAAGTTGTGAAAGATTCTTGAACAAGCATATCTGTTCTAGTAAATAACTAAGCTTGGATGCTGAAAATGAACTGGAGACATAAAAAAACCCCTCTTCAGTTTTAATGAGCTCAAAAGCAATCCAACTGTATCTATTTATATAGCAGGAATGGCTCTGAATATACTCTACCTGGGCCAGCATCTATAGTACAGTTCTGTCTATTTTTAATCTCCTAATATGAAATATAGATAGGAAAATTATATTTGAGCAGTGATTCTTTTGGCAAACATTAACTAAAATTAATTAAATTTTTGATGATATTCCTTCTCCCTTCCTTATTCTTTATTTGTGCACTTCTGTGTAATCGTGGAATATAATTTGACAATCCTTTGTGAATGTATGAGTGAATGGTGGAATACAAACTCTGTCTAGATGATGACTGTCACTTTCAGATGGAAAGATAAACTGTTCTAGATGTGCTGTGAAGTTAGATTAGATCTCTGAATGGTGAGGTCTGAATTCTTCCTGGACAAACAATTCATAATTTGTAAAGATTAACAGAACCATTATCAGTCCAATATATTTTCTTTTTCATGTCTGCAGCATAAAAAATGGATTCTGAAGACATTTCAAAGTTAGCAAAGGCATAATCACAGCTTCAGGACAGGAAGGGATCACTTCAGTCACTGAGTCAGCACTCTCAGAGACATGCAGCATCCATACATCACAGGTTATTTAAAAAGTGATACAAAATAGGTGTCAGAAGTGATTTACTTCAAATACTTTTGCATAAAGCCTTTGATCTGATGAAATGTGACCAATATTTTTAAGTAGCATTTAAGAGTTGCAAAACCAGAGCTTTCTAGGCATTATTCAAACATAGGTTTTCAATTACTGTGTATCTTCCATATATATGTGTGTGTGTGTGCGTATATCTTTGTTACAGCACTATACAGCACTAGAGTTTCTTGGTGCAAATATCTCAGTTTAACGTAGTATTTTGAACTATAATAGAGAATATATATATATATATATATATATATATATATATTAAAAGACCTTAGTTCACAAAACAAAACCGCCCATTGCTGAAGTCTTAGGCTGCATTATTCATGTATGGCACACATTGTTCAGAGTAACCTCAGCGCCTCAGCTCCCTGTAGTATCAATGGAGAGATGCTGGCATATCCAGCAGTTGGTGCAGTATATCTGAGTTAGTTGAATAAACTCGGACAGTATCAAGGCTCCTCTCCTCCTTCCTCATAAAGTAAAAATGCAGTATATTTCCACATGTGGTTATTTATTTAACAAAAAACAGTTTTATTGGAATATACAAGAAGTACTTGTTTAATGCATTCAGCCCAAGGAAGACACTTTTTATGTCAGAGAAAAAAGCACTAAAAAGGAAATGCCTTTTTTTTTTTTTTTCAGAAATTCCTTCCATTCTGCCATCATGCTTAAAGCTAAGCATTTAAGTGCTTTGCTAGATAGTGGCTTAAATATGCATGCTGTAAAATTATGAGAAGTATGAAACATCAAAACTCTATTATTTAAACTGTGCGGAGTGATAAGGCTGTTTTATCTGGAAGCATCCAAATTGTTTTTATGAAACTATAGGCACTGTATCCATTTGCAGACAAAAAACCACTTACTGATTGCAGAGTCATAGGAGGTTGAGTTGTGTTCATCTCGGATAAGAGGAAATGGTGACAGGTAAGCATGTGTACAATTCTTGGAAGGTGACTGGTTAGCTAAAAGTGAAAGAAAGGTAAAGATTAATATTTTACTGACTTAACAATAAAATATTTTAAGCTTGTTCTTCAAATGGGCAAACTTAGTTTCGTACGTCAAGATTCCAGGTTCTTTCCCAGGCAATAGCTTACAGTGGATTTGATTTGTTAAGAGATACCAGCCTTGTTGTCCAGCCAAGGATATTCCTTAAAGACTAACACAGTCTGGGAACAGTAAAGCAGACTTGCTGAAGGCACTCTTCAATTTATATGCAGTGCATACATATGCTTTTATATGCATATGTAACTTTCTCTTGTGAGGGTTAATTATGTCCATCTCATTATTTCATGCCACAAAAGAAAAAAAAGAAAACAAAACAAAACAAAACAAACAAACAAAAAAACCCAGGAAATTACTTTTTCCCTTGTGAAAGAACAATGAAAAATATCAAGCATCTTCAGAAAGTTTAGAGTCTCAACAAATATGAGTTTAGTCTATGGAATCAATATCACCAGAGAAGGGTAATTTCATCCTTTATATTAAATGCTTATAAAACTATCACCTTCTTCCTTGAGAAAGATAAAGGCTGACTATAGCTTAAATCACATTTAAATTTCAGATTCCTGACCACAGAATTCTCTAGATAAATAACAAGGGGAAATTAGCTACAGTGAATATTACATTTGCCATCTAAGAGCAAGCAATATATTTAGCAATATACGAGTTATTGGAGTAAAATTTGTATGATGCCACCTGCTTTTCACAGGGATTGTGGAAATCTTGCAATAAGGAGAGGGAGCTCTGTACCTCAGACGTAGGCTCTAAGACAGGAAAATAAATTTTGCTTGACCTCTTCATCATGGGAGATTTTGGTTGTAAAATACTACCTAATCTTCCAAAATCCTGGCACGTAGTGAAAGAAAGCAAAGGGTCATCTGTGAATTTAGTAGAGGAATTCTTCCGGAAATACGTGTCCTACACCATTTTCGCAGTGGAATTGCCCATGCCTTCCTTAACCCACTCGTACAACTAGCTGGGGAAACAATCCAAGCAAAAATTCATGGATCATCCTAACCACTAAGCTCTTTTCCCCTATGCTACAGAAATAAACAGTCTGTTTAACAATAAGTGCCAAGTGTCTGTCCAGATAAGAATGGACCCAGGTTAACAGGGCAGCCATAACACTCACAGCATAAATTGATAGTTAAACATATCATTTTGTCCTGGGGTTTCCTTCAGTATAGACTACATAATTATTTGTCAAGAATTTATTTTAGCGTATCTGAAGAACCAGATCACCAAAGAAGTCATATGAAATCCAGTGATTCATAAGACAGAAAAAAACCCCACAATTTTGGGAATGAACTACAGCAGATAATGTAAAAGGAAAAAAGTTACTTACTATACCAGAAATTCCACATGCTGGCATTATTCTCTCCTACATTGCCACTAAACCAGCACCTCCAGAAGAAACCTTCATGGTGGAAAGTGGCCTTCTCTCCCTATGGGGAAAAAAAAAAAGAAAAAAAGAAAGCATTATCATACAATTTTTAAATGGCTGAAAGAATCAAGTTCAATTGAAATTAGATGTTGAGGTAAAAACCACCACCATCATAATGAAACACAGCCTGTCTGAATATAGGTTAGCTACAGCATATCTAAACACTAACACTTCCTTTGAAAGAATGCCATATTGCAAAAGTAGTATCACAAAAGATAAATTCATTTTAGAATTGATTACAACTGGTTACAAGATGTTTTGAAACAGGCTGGCAAGCGTCCAGAAGGTCAAAATGAGTATATTCAAAAGTTCATACAGACATAAATTCTTAGAAAATAAACACATCCAAGAAACCTACATATATAATTCTCGTTCTAAAAAAAAAATGTCCATACTAACCCCAGCATCTTCAGGTGCTTTTGAACACCTTCCTATTTCTGTAGCAAGAAGCCAATAATCAGTTCCAAATGCCACCAAAAAAAGCAAAACCCCTAGAGCCGCAAAGAAGCCTCCAAAAAATAACCCCACACTTAGTTTCATTATTGAAGTTATCTTAAAAAAAAAAAAAAATGCTCAATTACTTAAGAAGAAATAGTAAAATAAATAAAATTATTGCGAAAGTTACTAAAAAGCTATTTGGAGATTACAGCTCATATCTGAAGAAGTTTCTCTTCACTTGACTTTCTGCCTGTGCCCTTCTTCCCAATGCCCTGTGAGTCGATTTGCGTCTCCTAATTTGTGTTCCACGTGGCTGACTCAAGACTGACAGATGAAAGGGGCCTTCTATTTTAGGGCACTGATAGCAGAGATTCATTCTGTTTCTCTGTCTGGGCGAGGCCAGTCAGAAATAGCTGACCTTCCCCTAACTAATCAGGGATTGGCTTGAAATATTATTGCAGCTGGTGCATCAACATCAGTGGAGATGGAGTTGCAATGACTCTCTCTGTCCACATGAATTGCGTTACAGAGCACATAGTAGCAGCAAGGACCCCCAAAATTCAGGCCTGGTAGTGAACATCTCCTGGGCTGATAGCAGGGAAGGAAACACACACAACACTTTGGAAGTTACTATAAGTCATGCTACTAAATGATGGCTAAAATTTTTTTATGGAACTTTAAAATACGGTAGCCGAATTGTAGAGAGGCCTTTGAAAAATCCTAGCCTTTATTACAAATAAGCTCTGGGTAGTTCCCAGGGTATCCTGCTGGCTCTCAGCTGCCTCTCCAGAAGGGCGCACTGCTCTCCCAGTTCTAACCATATCTGCCAACCCCCTGCAAGCGTCTTAGGTACCTTCTTTCACCTCAAATGGCACTGAGAGCCTACATGATGGTGACTGAATCAAGCCTGGACGGAGGGATACAGTTGCCTTTCTGTCATGTCCCACCATCCGATGCTCCAGGATGCCTTAGGCATCTACGTTTGGTAGGCAGGTATGACACGGGACTTGGAGGAGACCCACACCTTTCTTGAACGACAGCTACAGGCCAGGTTCACACCATCCCAAAGTGATGCTAGATACCTCTGTTTAGATGGCTGAAACCAGTCTCCATTAGCTGGTCACGTCATTCTGGAGGCACTACTTAATGTTTTAACCAGACCACCGTCAACTCTTAATGGCAGCACAGATCCCTGTTTCACACAGAGATGTCTGAATGCAAAGGTCTTAATCTGGAACTGAATCTCACTCAGTGGGCTGGAATTCTGAACCATTTTGCTGTTGTATGGGTGGCCTTACGAAGCACTGGTCTCAAGCTCAAGAAATTTTATTCAGTGAAATCCAGAGATGTAGATAGTCATGACATAAACAAAACCAATGATACAAAGTTCTTCATGATATCCATTTAAAAAAAAAAAAAAAAAAACAACCAAACAACCAACCAGATAAAATTTAATTAATTCTGATGTGCTGTTTACACTATGCCACATGGCTCATCTTAAATAATTATATTTTTCAGTGTTACAGGAGATGTGTTTATAACCTCCAAAACACCGATTGGACAGAGCTATGTATGAGTACTGTAAAAGGGAACAGACCTGATATTGGTGAATTCTAACAGTGAATATAATACAAATACTTTTCACTCTCATGCTTTACTCTACAATTCTCAAAGCTCTTTTCACAGATAGTTATGCACCACTATTCATACCTGTAAAAAAGGAAACTGTGGCACACAATGGTGAAATGAGTTTTTCGATGTTACATCAGAAGCAAAAACAGAACTCCAGCCACCTGATTCAGCCACCAAACCACAAATAAGGAAACAAATAAATGGCTGGTTTCAGTCTTATTGTACCTACCTGGCTTCAGGTCAGAAATATGTGACTCCATAAACCCATTTCTGCATGAGAGTAACTTACACTCATGAGTAGCTTCGCTGAAATTAATTTTCATGAAAAATTTCGCTGAATTCAAATGACAGCTAAATCACTGCCTGTGCAGTACAAGTATTTATTTTTAATATACTGTACATACATTCTGGTGTCAGTTTAGCATGTTCATCCTGAGAGGATCTAATTTAATTATTCTCTTTTATATTTATGGCACATTCTTTGGCGGCGCTATCTTCCAAATACTTTAACATCTCCAGTATTATGACCAGCTATGTCAGGAATGAATCAGAAGCCATGTTAAGACTTGTTATGTCAGCTTAAAAATTCATGTTATCCACTCCTTGAATACTCACAGAAAGTCTCAGAGCACTTTTTATTCAAATAAATTGAATTCTGAAGGTTCCTCAATAGAAGAGAGAAAGTTTCAAGGCAGGGAAAACAGGGCCAGATTTATCAAGCCAAAACAATCATTATTCTTAATCTTAAATAAGGTCATTCCCCAACTCCTTCCAAAACTCCTAAATTTTTATAGAAAGACAGGCATTTTAAACTAAAGCTACTTAGCCAAATTTACCCCTACTATAATGACAATGAAGTAATTAAATCAGTTTTAATATACAATCAGTTTGGCCAATTAAGCCCAACATCCACTGATTTTGTTGATTCATAGTGTGAAGATTGAAGGCCCCCACATAATGGATGGATTCCAATCTCATTTAACAAAGCTGGCAAAAGTTTGATGATTTTCTTTCTGTTTATCTTCCAGATAGATAGGGCTAAACTAGCTCCTAAATCTGCATACTTTATTTATGTCTCTAAATAGCTCCAGCTTCAATATAGCATCTGAGCCCCTCCTTTTATTTAAAAATAGAAAAGAACTAAAAACCAACCCAAAACTACATTCTTCCTTTTTGATCTGAAGGAAAAAAAGCTTGATTAGTTTATGGGAGGGGGAGGGTGTTTGTTTGTTTATGTTTGTGTGTGATTGAGTAAATGTCGTTTGGAACTGGCAGGCAGCTCCTTATCTGTGCTGGCAGATACGTCCATGATCTAAAAACAGCCTTTTAGAACTGGCTGCATGTCTCACTAAACACCAAGAAACGATTTCAGCAGCTGCCTCAGAGCTGAATCCTTCTGAGACCTCAGTGCCCATTTACTGTTGAAGAAAAACATTCTGAAGAGCGACGGAGTATCTCACCTGCTGATTCAGATCCTCATCCTGTCCATCTTCCCCAGCTGGGCAGTATGTTATCCACTGCACCTACACAATCAATTGTCAGCAGCGTGCTGGGCAGACATACAGAGCATAGTACACCTTGTCCATTTAATCTTTGGCTGGGATTCATCTTACCTAACACCAGACAGCTGCAGGGTAGCGGTCTCCAATTAAGCTGGTTACCTCAGGTTTCCGTTACAGTCGTATCGGCACTTTTACAGCACAGACCATCTGACCTATTTTTGGATGACTACTTCAATGTGCAATGAATCATGTCCTAAAAGTGCAATTGCTTTTTTTCTTTTTTTTTTTTCTCCACTGACTAAAACGGGGCCTGGAATAACTAGTTTGAGATACAACCACTTTAATCTTAATACTACGGTAGATCAGGCCACAAATCACAGAATGACAGAATGCTGGAGGTTGGAAGGGACCTCTGGAGGTCACCTTGTCCAACCCCCCCAGCTCAGGCAGGACCACCTAGAGCTGGTTGCCCAGGACCACGTCCAGGCAGCTTTTTAATATCTCCAAGGCTGAAGACTCCAGAAACTCCCTGGGCAACCCGTGCCAGTGCTGAGTCACCCTCACAGTAAAAAAAGTGTTTCCTGATGTTCAGAGGGAACCTCCTGTGTTGCAGGTTGTGCCCACCGCCTCTGGTCCTGTCACTGGGCACCACTAAAAAGAGCCTGGCTCTGTTCTCTTGTCCTGGTTTCAGCTGGGACAGAGTTAATTTTCTTCCTAGTAGCTGGTACACTGCTGTGTTTTGGATTTAGTGTGAGAATTATGCTGATAACACACCGATGTTTTAGTTGTTGCTAATTAAATTAAGGATTTTTCAGTTTCCCATGCTCTGCCAGCAAGGAGGTGCACAAAAGCTGGGAGGGAGCCTGGCCAGGAGAGCTGACCCAAACTAGCCAAAGGACCCAAACATACCATGGGACGTCATGCTCAGTATATAAATGGGGAGGAGTTGGCCAGGAGGGGTGCATCACTGCTCAATCACTGCTCAGGAACTGTCTGGGCATCGGTCAGCAGTTGGTGAGCAACTGTACTGTGCATCGCTTTTCTTTTCTTGGGTTCTATTTCTCTCTCTTTTTGTTATATTCATTTTCTTCATCATCATCACAGTAATTTATTATTACTGTTGTTATTATATTTTATTTTATCTTAGTAATTAAACTGTTCTTATCTTTCGATTCTCCTCCTTGTCCCCCTGGGAGGGGGGAGGAGGGAGTGAGCACCTGCATGCTGCTTAGGTGCTGGCGGTTCCTCCTGAGCCTCCTCTTCTCCAGGCTGAACAGTCCCAGCTCTCTCATTGTTTCCTCACAGGACAGATGATCTACCCCCTTCATCATCTTAATAGCCCCTCATTAGACTCTCTTCAGTATGTCCATGCCTCTTTTGTACTGAGGATCCCAGAACGGAACCCAGCACTCCAGGTGTGGCCTCAGTAGAGAGGAAGGATCACCTCCCTCAGCTTTCTGGCAACGTTTTGCCTAATGCAGACCAGGATACAGTTCACCTTCTTTGCAGGAAGGGCACGTTGTTGGCTCATGTGAACCTGAGGAGAGATTGTAGACAAGTCCTCTCCACGTGGATGAAATCTAGCCCTTCTGAACGCAGGTATCAGTGAGTCACTCATTCTACATATGCTATACTAAGCTCATGAGGAGACAGATGGTGGCAAGGACCTTTCTTCTGACCTAAGGACAGAAACAGCCCATACCCCAGCAATAGCTTCAACAGGAATTCTATTAAACCAACAAGAAGAATCTTCTTTATGAGGCATTATATCTACACATTTATATGTATCCAGGACCCAGTTACGCATCTGCAAGAGCACACAGCAGACTCGCAGCCACCCAGATGAACAAAGCTTCAGGGTGTATATCCCATTTGGAACCTGCCTCATACCCTCTCTGTGCTCAGGACTTTGACACTCTACAAAGCATCACAGATTCATTCAGCCACAGATAGGAAAAGAAAACTTTAGTATGACTGTGAGCGTGTCACTGTTTCATATTCACTCTGCATTATATCTTATATTAAACCTACATTGGGTAAAATAGGTAAAAATATGGCAAGGCACAATATTTTTTAATTGCGTCATAACACTGATTCAAGGTGTGATGAATCCATGTCCTTGACAGTTGGACAAGATAATTAGA